CGCAACGGTTCCATCTTCGAAACTTTCAAAAGGAATCCAATGTTTGCTCTTTCACCCAGATAATCATAGTGCGTCTTTCAAATATTTTATTCATAATATGTATTATAGTATAAATATTATTATTTAATCACAAATTATTAAATATAGTTATACATTATTATTGTTATTTGTGTATAATGATTTTATATTATAAAATAATTAAAAATAACTTTGACATGATTGTAAAGTAGTTCTTATAAAAATAAACAAATTAATTGATCTTAAATTTATGTCGGATACAATTTTTTTTTTATTTTATTGTTAGATGGTGTAAACACTTTTACACACGACCACCGCACTTTTTTTGTTGCAACACTTTATTTTGAATTGTACTAAAATATTCACGTGTCCATTCTTTAATAATATGGTTTGCACGATAAACATTGATTCAACACATACATATGGATATCAAATATATTTCATTAAATAATATGATGATAATTTTTTTATTACTCATTTACATTGAATTATTATTGTGAAAATAATGTTTAATTAACAGAAGTTACATATCAAAAATATAAATTGATCATTGTTTATTAAAGTTAAAATACTGTGTAAAATATGCATAGACTAAAATAAATATAAAATAATTAAAAAAAATGTGTTGCTTATAATAATATTTTGGTGTATAGACCATGATTTATAGAAAATACTTTAGTAACCTCAAGCGTGTGGTTCAGCCGTAAGGGTTGATCCACACTTAAGTAAGGTCAGAGATTCGAATCCTGCCTTGTGTATGCAGCTGTGTTAAATCTTTGGGTTAACTATCACACCCTTTGAAGTGCTTCTAACGTAGCGAGGAGATTAGTCACTATTATCGGTGGTGAATATTTTAAGAAAAAAAAAAAAAAAACCTTAGTTTGACTATATGTTATTTAGAGATGGAATTTACAGTTAAAAGTTAGGTGAAATGGGTTGAAAAAACAAACATTAATGAGTTGCAAATTTCACGGTCCATGACTCGTGTGAATTGCGCCGCTACCTATGTATTTATTGTAGTAGCCCTACCTTGGTAATTAGCTTATTCAAGTTAATACTGGTACAAGTGTTACTTGTAAGAATTTTTACATTAAAGTTAGTAAATACCAAGATTTATCACTGAACAAATAATAATGCATATAATTGGCCAAAGTTTCCCCCTTTATATATACAATGTTGGTTAGCATTTGTTCATCATTCAAATCTTAATAATTTTAGAATGATTTACAATTTCCTTTTGACAACTCGTGATACATTTTTTTAATGTGTACAAGTGATGAATTTGATTAAAATAATGAGTAGTGTATATTAAGCATCAATATTGAAAATACTTCAATGACTTTTTATTAAGGCAAGCCCTTTTTATTTTCTTTTAAAAAGATACTAATATATACTACTTTTCTTTCAATTTGGAAAATATACTTTTTCTTATGATATAAAAATACGATACACTTTAAGCTCTAATAGCCTTTTTCCCGGGCAATTTGCGATTAGTGACAAGCCTCTTAAAGTCTTTAAATGATTTTATTATTACAAGTGGCTAATTATTTATAGGATTAAATATGTTCTAGATGATTAAATTTGGGATATATATCTTTTATCTCGTAAATTTAAAATTTGTACTTATAGTTTTTATAATTTCAAAAAAATATTATTTTGATTTCTTAAATTTTTAAATTTGTGTTTTTATTTTCAAAATATCAAAAACTATGATATTAGTCTCTTTCAATTTATCATTGTTAGTCATAACATGAGTGATTAATTTTTTAAAAAAAATACAAGAACTAAAAAAATAAATTTTAAATTCAAGAGGTTAGAATAACAATTTTTAATATTTTAAGGATTTAAAACAGAAGTTTAAGATTTAGGAGACAATAAAAAATATATCCCAAATTTAAAAGAGAGAGAGAAAGTGAGTGGAGAGGGGAGGAGATAGATAAACATAAAAAAAAAAATCAATTATATTGACATAATTTTTTATTATCAATTATTACACTGTTAATAACTTTAAATATAATTTTTTGTTAATTAAATTATTTAATTATAATTTCATATTATCTTTAATGTTTATGACAATTTTTATAAAATTTAAATAACAATAACAAGATAATAAAATTATTTATATTTTAATGTATATAAAGAGATTTAAAGTAAAAATGACAATATAAAAATTGGAAACATTTTTATTGAGAAATATTGAAGGATTATTAATTAGTGACAAGTACACGAATGAAAGATGGCTTTAAATTGTTTATCTAAATTTTATATTTATTTTTTATTTTAGTTAAACTTTTACTTTTTTATCATAATATATGAAAGTTTAAATATGTTTTTTATTTTGAAATGAGATTTTTTCTCTCTCTAAATTTAAAGTGAAATTTTCTAGCCATTTCAAATAAAACAATTGCATCATTACTGATGAAAAAATTAAGTCAAACGATTTAATGAGAATTTTTCACCAACAAAAATATTAGTAGGTGAGATTAGTTTATTAATAAGTGATTTTGTGTGAGCTGACAATCTTCTATAAATATTAATTATTGTTTCTAATCATAATTATTTCGTACCAAGGTTCAATAGCATTAAAAAATATATTTTAAAGTGAAAAAAAAACGTTTAAAAAAAAGAAAGTTTTTGAAATGAAAAAGAAAATTGATTCAATGAATTTTCAATCCGGGATAGATGTATTTAACTTTTTTTTTTATCACTATTTTTGTATATAAAAATAAGAGAGTATTCGGGATTTTATTTTTATTTTCATACAATATTTCATTCTCTATCTCTTCTGGTTACATCATTTATTACATTTTATATTTCTCTATTTTCTCTTTTAATAATATAATTTCTTGAACAAACAACATTTATTTTATATATATATATATATAATTTTGGCTTTAAATTATTTAAAAATTGGTTTTAATTATTTTAAAAATCAATTATATAAAAAATGGTTTTAATTTATCATTTTATTCCTCGCTGACATGCACATAACGTGACGAGCTAATAGGGTTATTACTTACTTGACACTTTAACACGTGACTCCATCATTCACTCATTTTAACCAAATGCAAACTTGCAGGAAACATTTGTGTATAGTTATGATTTTATATTTGTGAAATTATTTTACCTATAATTTGAGGCAACATTTTTTTAACTCATGGTAATATCTTTTTTATTGTTGTCGAAAAAATCTCATAATAATTTTTATTTATTTATAAGAATCACACTTGAGATTTGGAATTTACAACAACACACTGTTTAGCCAGTTAAACTATATGATTCCACAATCAACACTTTCTAATTAAAATTAAATAATGTTTAGAAGTTGTACCCAACATCAGAATTAAAACATCTTATTGACAACAATAAAAAAAATTTCCCTCTCCTTCAATTTTTTTTTAAGCTTTTTTTTTTCTTTTCATATTTTCTTATCTCAAAATAACATGATTGTTCCTTTACACCATTCCTTTATATATGTTTGCTATTGTACGATAAAGATAGCTATGCCTTTCAATGAATAAATCAGAAAGCGTTTCCTTATAATAAAACTGTGCATAGGCTATACAATATATACGGAGGTAGATTTTTCAACTTCATCAACAATGATCAAACAAACCATGTTCTCTTGTCAGTGTCGGTGTTCCTATGGAGGATGCATTTCCATTGCCAACTTCATACAATCATATCCATTAAACAAATCAATTATATTATTTTCGAACTATTTATTATTGATTTATCGATGATTAGATCCTATTATAAAATTTGATTCACCACTTCCGGTAGGATTTATATTTTTAATCATATTTTTTATATACTCACAATATTCAAATATGATACTTCTTTATATAAGAAACTTGAATACAAATTTGCTGAAACAATTTGTTAGAATAGTGGATTAAGCCTAACTCAATCCTACAAAACCGGCTTATAAGGTGAGGGTTGCTTTCCACTTATATACTATTCAATTGCCTAATCTCTAGTCGATGTAGGACTTGAGTTTTTCCCAATACACCCTCTCACGTCTAACACTATTGGGCTTGGTACGTGGATAAATGGTGGGTAGCCCTTTTTAATGATCTAGGATTGGCGGGACTTGGGTTTTTCCCAATACACCCCCTCACGTCCAGCACTATTGGGCTTGGTACGTGGATAAATGGTGGGTAGCCCTTTTTAATGATCTAGGATTGGCGGGACTTGGGTTTTTCCCAATACACCCCCTCACGTCCAGCACTATTGGGCTTGGTACGTGGATAAATGGTGGGTAGCCCTTTTTAATGATCTAGGATTGGCGGGACTTGGGTTTTTCCCAATACACCCCCTCACGTCCAGCACTATTGGGCTTGGTACGTGGATAAATGGTGGGTAGCCCTTTTTAATGATCTAGGATTGGCGGGACTTGGATTTTTCCCAATACACCCCTTCATGCCTATGAGACATGGTATCAAAGCCGATGGTTCGACCAAGTGACTGGTGATCGGCTCAGACGAGTATTAGTTGGATCCAAGAGTGGGCTCCTAAATGGAATTGGCAGGAGATCCAAGAGTAGGATCATCTCTTGTACTGAAAGTCTCCCTAGATGTGTGGAGGACGTGTATCGTTGAAGTGCAACGGTAGTGCAAGTAAGGCCACCATTGAATACTCGTGGACGAAAGAAAAAGCTTCCGCTTGAGGAGGAACATGACCATGTTGAAGGGATTCACACTTGAGGGGGAGTGTTGGAGTTCAAGTGTGAAGTTAAGTCTATACCCCCTTCAACCTGAAATACCTTTCCATCTTTCCAACCCATCCTAACACGTCATCCCCTTGGAACAGCGGAAGTTCCAGGTTTCGCCACTTCCACCCATTCTTTTCCGTTCTTGGATCCCCATACTCTTCGTCCCCTTCACGGCCGTTACTTCCCACCGTCCCCATAGTCGCTCGCATTTCCTTCATTTGCTCCAGCATCTCGCGCATCGCCCCCTCAATGTTACGCCGCCAGGTGCGTCGGAGCTGGAGGCGCGTCGCCGATGGAGGTGCGTCGGAGCCGGAGTTCGTCGGAGCTGCACGCGATCGCCAGAGAAGAAGAAACAGAGAGGGAGAGACGAGCCGAGGTGTTTGTTTTGGATGAGTCTGAAATCGCGAGAGGGAAGGGATGATTAGGGCAAAAAAAGCCCATTGAAAAGACTGACTTACCCTTAATGAAGGGTAAGTCTGAAATCGCGCCCGCGAATCCGCGATTTGGGCCGCTCCGCTACGCCTCCGACGCGGCCGCTCCAGCCGCTACAAAAATCCGCCACGCGACAGCAGCCACATTGCGGGGTGAGGCCGCTCCGCTCCGGAGTGCCGCGATAGCGGCCGCTCCGACCGCTATTGACTACTATGATTTTGAGACCCCTTTTCCTTGGACTAGGAATTCCTCCTCATCAGGTACCTTCTTTTTGCCATAAAGTCTGAAAATTTTACTTGGAATTCACTCTGACTAGAGAATTTTCCAAAGGTTGCAAGTGCTACATCAACATTGGTAATAGCATTTTCTGCATCTTTGGCAGTGGTGGAATATTACCTTCTCAAACGTTTCCCTGTTCCTTATGGTAAGTATTGATGAATGGACTTAACTCAAGGCATTTTAACAATATGTGAGAGCATGGTAATTTTTCCATGATGCAACAAGAGCATATACATAGTAATAGAGGATTCTACAAGAGCATACAGATAGCAATATATTATGGATTTTTGAATGATAAAGTTTGGATCATGTTGCAGCTCTTTACTTCGTAACTATAGCTAATGTGTGTATAAATTGTCTTTGCATTCATACTTTAGTTTAGGCCATTTGCATATATTATTGCATTGTTTGAATGATTTTATCATGTATTATCTTTGTTTTATATTACACTTTTGGTTTTCTTGTTTTTCTTTGTAAATAAGTGTTTTAGGTGCTTAAATCATTGTTTAAAGAGAACAAGTATCCAGATGGAAGAGTTGAAGTCAGAAAATTTCGCAGACAGGTTGTGGGCTTGGGCCAAATGAAAAGAAGAGGAAAAGACAACTCTTAAAATTTTAAAAAGAAAAAGAAAAAGAAAAGAAAAAAAGAGTCTGAAAATAAAAGAGGAATAATTAGAAGAAGAAAAAAAGGAGAACTAATAGTCAGAGAGAGGAACGACTTATCAAGAGGAGATCAACTCACCATCGGAAGATGAACGACTCATCAGTCTTTTTTGGTTTTTCCTTTTTCATTATGCAGAACTAATTTTCTTTTTGTTAGAATATTGATGTAATATTCTGGATCATAGTTTCTGAACCTTGTCAATTGATGTTTGCCTCTTCTTGTGGTGCTTCATATTTTTTGACAATAATGGATAATTTTTCTTGTACTATTTGGATTTATTTGATTTCTGATAAAAGAGAAGTGTCACGTACATTGCTGAATTTCTTTGCATTAATAGAAAGACAATTTGGTAAACAGATTAAAGTGCTACGTAGCGATAATGGTACTGAATTTACATGTTTGAGAAACTACTTTCATAAACATGGGATAGTATTTCAAACATCTTGTCCAGGAACCCCACAACAAAACGGAAGAGTAGAAAGAAAGCATAGACACATTCTTAATGTTGCTCGTGCTCTACGATTTCAAGGTAATCTCCCTATTTCTTTTTGGGGTGAGTGTGTCTTAACAGCTGGATACTTGATTAATCGTACTCCCACTCCAGTGTTGTCTGGAAAAACACCGTATGAGATGTTGTATGGTCAAGCTCCCATGTATGAGCATTTAAAAGTTTTTGGTTGTTTATGCTATGCACACAACTTGGATAGACATGGTGATAAGTTTGCTAGTCGAAGTCGAAAGTGTATCTTTGTGGGTTACCCCTATGGGAA